TTATAGATGAATATTAAGTTTAGTAAAACTTTACTAGACTTGACTATAAGATCTATAGTTATTATATAAAAGCTTTTTAAATTAAATTTGAAAAATATAATCAAATTAAAGACTAGTATAATAATAGTATAGTTTTATTATTATATACTTTATTTTTAAATCGTTTTAGTTATCTTATATAATTAATTATTTAATTTAGATTATAATCTTAAAAGAAAAGATTTATTAATTTGTTTAATTATATAGTATAATAATTTCTTCTTTTATTATAGAAAATATCAAAATCTTATAAATGCCGAAGAGTAACTAGATTATTATTAAAGAAAAATTAGCTATATAATTACACTTCAAGCAATAATAAATGACCCAACTATAGCAATTGGGCTCCCGGATCAATGGCAGGGATCATCATGTCATCATGGATGGTTACATTGGTTTTATCTTGATTGAACGAAAACCAATGGATCTTATCGAATTTTTCACTTCAAGCAAAATGTGGATATCCCAGCGGCAATGATCTTTACAAGTGGTTAGTTGGTTTCTATCTTAATGGGATCCTTGACTCAAACTTTTATTCACTTCATATCATGCAGGAATCATTAAATGAAATGATGAAGTGTTCACCATTCTCATTACAACTGGTCGCAGTGGCCGCCTAGTGGATAAAATTCGCATCACCTGCATTAATTCACCTGCAAATTTTCATGATACGTGAGGAATATCAGTGGGTAAATACCAAATGGGAATTGAAACGGAAGGTTCGAGGCGAGTTTCAAAAAAACTATTCACCTCCCCAATCTATCACCAATCATTTTCATATCTCACATTTCCTGCACGACAAGGCTGGCTCGATAGGAACTCTTATATTTTTTGGTGTGGCTATGCCGCTACGAATGTATCACTGTTGGATGAACGATCTAAATCACTCTTCGAATACGATTATCATCCAAGCATGAGGCGGTAAGTTTATCTATTTCTTCGAGTGATGACTGCTGCGTTGGCGGCCTAGACTGCAAGTTCAAGGTAAGATGAAACAAACAATCAAAGGACTGGTTGATAGTGGGGTTGAGGTCAAACACCTTCAACATTCTCGATTGCCATCACGATGCATCTATCAAAAGAAAAGAAAAATTGAGGCTGGGAAGATACACAACTTTTGAGATGAGCCGGCAGATGATACTTCGATGGTCTCCCTTTCACAAGGTGGCATTGAGGTTGCTTGTCCCCCCTCCCCCTTTCTCTTCACACAGTGACTCTGGAATGAGTTAACATGTGAAAACGAGCCCGCAGATGGCAAGGTGATGATCTATCTTCATGGGGGGATCTCGAGGTTGCTTCCCCCCTCCCTTATGATTCCACGGCTTCGCTTCGACACAATAAATCTTTAATGAGTTGGTAGGTGAGAAAACTTGTGCCTGGGGGAATACCGAAATTTGGGATCAATCGGCAGATCCGATAAACTCGATGATCTACCTTTCAGAGAAGTCGAAAGTACGACATTTACCTATCACTGGAAGGAAATGGAGTCCATGGTTTCGACACACACCTTTCTCGACAGCTAGGGACATGACTGGTTTCGGAAGGAGTCGAGTCTGCCAGAAGCTCGAGTCCTTCGATGACAACTTGATAACTCATTCATCACTGGAACGAGAGGGAGTTTTTGGGGAGTTCTCGACGTCAACCACGATACAAGTCTTCTTGTCGATTCATCTAGCACATACCATTCCATGTCACATCGCCTGGAAACACAACAAACGGGAAAATGCACCACGAATAAGCATACGCCACGAGGGGAAAGCAAATATATTCGACAATGGAGGCCACAGCAAGGAAATCGACACTCCCATATACTCGCACTTTAGGCACTGGACTACGGATGTGCTTGCATCCATACATCCGAATACAGTACGAACACGGTACTCATGCAGTAACCTCCTCCAACATTACAAACTTCAATACAATCAATACCACCAGATGAAGGCCTTTACTATACCCAACACTTAAAAATCCCAAGAAAGCCGGAGAAACATAGCCGTGGATTTGGATCCTTGGTCCCTTTGCTGCAGCATATTCTACTCCATCGGTGGCAGGCTGGGCATCTCGGCCGGAATATTGGGATGTTGTTCGATTGGCATGGTCAGCTTCTTTCTCTTCGTGAGACGCAAATAGATGCTTGCTACAAAAACCTCAAGTTCTTCTACAAACATACATTTTGAGGCATTAATTTGGTGCTTCAGCATACTCAATGATTCTGACGACAAATGGCCGCTACTCATTAACGGACGATGACTGCCGTAAGGGCCATTATTTGTAGCCCATGGCTCGAGTCCTACCCTCTTTATCCGCAAACCCCAGCAAGTTCCTTGAAGGTCATTTGTGATTTCGATCAGGCCAAAATCTTGACGAGAAAGTATACGTTCATCTCTTATCGACTGAATATCTCGGGTTTGAAGCATCTGTCTGACGAAGACAATACTATACATTTCCTATCTCATTAACATGTTGGAAAGCGATGGCAGACTGCGCTGGCCTTGCTCACGTTCTCCTCGGTATCGCATGCACGCTGGCAATGTCATCTGTTACTGTTGACCGATATAGGTCTAATTGCAGGAAAACTTGAAGAATGGCAGTGATCATTAGTATATCTCTAGTGAATGTGGCTGTACCTCAAGGAGTCGCAACCGATGACTGAAGACACGCAGTGCATTTTTGATGGTTTCCTTTCCCAAATGATTCTGCAAGTATGCAAGCAAGCAATTAATGTTCGTTTTCAAGAGCACAAAGTTAAGTAGATTCCACATTGGTCGAATTTCTCGAATTATGTAGTATGGCATCCGTCCTCATGGCTTGGTTATGCTATCGTCTCTTCGAACTTCGGTCAGTTTGTCGGATAGTCAAGCCAATCTTCTCATCTTCTGTCCTTTGCATCTTCCTTTTTATTATTTCTGTGTTTTTTTCATCGTCGCCGTGGACTTTTACTCCTCGATCCTCTCCATTCCCATCTACAATCCACAACCTGCAATTTTTAGCCCACTGTCTGAATTATTTGCACCTACCGGTACTGTCTTTTCTTTCTGTCTCCCCTCAAAGCTTATTTACCGCACGATGTATGGGTCAGTAAATCTCGGCAATGCAAGACCTCTTTTACAGCTTCAGGTAGATGTTACTTATGCGCAGCGACTTATAGATATAGGCACCTGACGGAAGATGCTTTATCATTTGATTCATTTTCAGGTCCGGGATCTCGTTTCCTAGGATACATAAAATGAGAAGGGCCACACATCTGTAGTTAAACTTTCCCTCAAACTTATGTGCGGCACGCCGGGTTTGTGTGCTTGAAGCGATGGATAATTGGTTCTGAGACATGGTATTGAGACCAGAGCTCCCACATATGTATCTTACTATCTTAAAATCTTACTATCTTATATTCTGCTCGAGGCTTGAGCTGCTTACTGCATTTCACATTTCATCGTTAACCTCTAGACTTCACGCAAAGCAAAGTAAAGAAAAGATATATCCTCACTTATCTCGATGATAGAGCTGGAGTTGATACTGCTTACTTATCTCCAGACCCCACACTCAGTAATGTGAGTGTAGGACCTCTGAAATACTAATTGAGTCTCTGAGGATCTGATTTCAGGTCTGTGTTTTGGGGGCTGTAGTTGGAAGGTATTATGGATACTGATAGTAAGATGATAAGAGAGTGGTATGAGGGAGTTTTGATTTTGTTGTGAAGAGACTGTAGTTGAGATGCAATTCACATTTGTTTTTTAATAGAGGTACAGTACTATTTCCTGAGAGTTGAGAGCACTGATGATGATGATGATGATGATGATGATGATGATGACTGATGACCTTGCCATTGGGGTGTCATTTGATATACTCTACTGAATCTAGAGTATAGTATAGCAAAGCTTTCAGTACTAATACGCTTACGCTTGCGCACCTGCTGCGAATATACATACTACATACTATATTTCTACGCGGAGGTGGGATCTTCTAGAGAGATAGATGTTGATGATGATGATGATGATGCTGGTGCTGGTGCTGATGTGAAGTCTGGGTGAGGAGGCTGGGCACTTTGTTTCTTTTGTGTTGATGATTAGGGAACTTTGATATGTGAACTTGGATTTTCAACTTGTGGTTGGGATTGGGGTTTGTACACATAATGCAAATTTTTTAATTGTGGTGCTGATGCCTGAAGAATGGAAGTTTGTTCTAGGAGGGAAATATTGTGTTGTATGTGGAGGAGGATATATATACATTGGATTCGGGATAATGGAGAAGGGGGAAGGAGAGGTATTGCTGGAATTCCCACCAACACTTCGTTCTTGTGTACTTCAGTATAACAAACAACTGGATACCTATGTTTGAGAATGATATGTCTTCGATGGTAAATGGAACTCTCTACTCATGTATTTGTTTACTGATACCAATATGGATAAAATAGAACGTTGGAGCAAGAAATATACAAGTTTTGAATACCCTTTTTAGGGGAGGTCCATATTTATAGTCTTCACTTCTATGAATCACATCGAAAGTCTCATTTCTTGCCTGACCAGTCAGTAGTCTCAGCAACACACAGGTGGCCCATCTTTGTTCTGTCCAGTCTCTTATAGTGAATATCAAAGGTGGGCATGAGGAAATGGAAACAAAATCCTAGGCTTTGCGATTTTGATTATAGCTTCAATATTAAAGAGGCAATCGATCTATGGTGAATTGTGAATAGCTTTGTCAAAGCTGATATTAGCACCATCTCCCATCTTGCCATCTCATCATCCCCAAATGCCCTCAAGTTTCTACAGTTTCTCTGGCTTTGATGGTCGTGTAATTTTGTTCAAAAGGGAGAGATGGGTTCATTGATTTATCAACACTATATGTTTGCTTCTATGAGACTATGACTCAAAACCAAGTATCCATTCCTCAAAGGCGGTAATCAAACAGTAGGCAGTAAACTTATAATCAGGCCATATGTAGAAAATCTCTGCCGTCCCAATCTCGGATATAGGTAACTCCGATTTTCAACTTTCCTGCTTCTGCTGCTAAAACCTGAAGCTTGCTTTGTTTCCTTTTGTTTTATCTCGAACTCTTCTTAATTGTCAAAATTTCCATTTCTCCTTCTTGCAATCCAAGAGACCAATCTAATTGAGTCGAATACCTTCTCCACCAGACTTTTCAGCTAGACTTCTCTCTTAAGATCTCTTTTTTCATTCAACACAAAAGCCAATTGAGATGTCCCAAATAGCTCCAATGCCAGAAGATGAGTTGGCTGTCTTTTTGATTTTACGTGTCTTCATGCTGGCATTGTTTATATACACTTTGGTGATAATATGGGGAAGATGATTATATGGGGAGTCAGGCTATGATCGACTGTCAGACTATTAAGTTTCTGGTTCTGCGTCAGGTAACTAGTTTACACTCTGGCATATGGCTTAGTGATCAAGTTCCAATATATCTAACAAAAATTAAAGGTCTGCAGCGATTCTCTCAGGGCAGAGTTTCTGTTGCATGGAGGTTCTGTTAAGCTTGTTCCATTTCCCTGCTACTTTGACTTGGATATGAAAAGATCCAGCTAGAAGAAAGAAGGAAGATAATATGTTTATTTGCGAGATCTTGATGTGAGTTATCTTTCTTCTGTTGGCTCATTGACAAGTTGGGTTGCTGGACAAGCACTCGTACTTCCAGTCGATCTGATCTTATCAAGACTCAATTTGAAAGCATGCTAATCATCCATCTAGGGTATCTTGCCTCGAACCTGTGCACAAACGAACAATCACAATCGCCATCGCCTTCATCTGTGCACATCTACCATCAGAAGAAGTTTGAGATATTGAAGAAAGCAAGTTGTAATTCAAAGGAAACAGGATCAAACACCAGAGCTAATTACAAACCACTCTATCAAAGATTTTGACTTGAGTGCCATGACTGTCGGTGGTTGTGAACAATCATGTGCTGGTGAGGCATGTACTGCATCTTGTTCTTGCCATGTGGGAATTGTTAGTCCCATGGTGAAGAATCTGCTATACCACTGCTTGTTGGTACTCATGATTACAACAGTTGCATGACATTTAAAAGTAAGTCCACACTGTTCCGCAGCATAACAAAGATAGTGACTGACCTTCTCATGTGATAGTTTTCTGCCAAGATAGCAATCATTTCACCAAGTGCTGGTGTGTTGCTTATCCACAAATACTCAAACCATGATAGTTCATATGCGGATCTTCAATATTGAAACATAGTATTGATATGCATCTCTGTTGTCAGACTAGTGAAAAGAACAAGGCTAAGCTTCGTAGTGTCTCTCTAGGATATTTGGTAGTTGACAGTTGTGGGAACTTTTGATAACATTTCCGTCCTCTCATAGGAAGTGAGTGTGGTGTGAGGTATCTACCTTCAGATGGTAAGTATTACCAGCACGCTATATGATTTCCTTGCTTCTGATGGTAGCAATAGGTAACAGTTGCTGTTCAATGTACTTCAAGGTTAGCATCTCCTAAACATCGATTCTCCTTGCATCTGACTAATAACAACTATTATGTTGGAAGTTGAGGTTATATGTCACGTGTCCTACCTTACCATACCTTACCATACCCCTACCTTAGCTTGGATAAATGCCTTAGATATTCATCCACTATATAATTAGAGTCGTTCAATATATCTCCGTTTTTCCCTTATATTATATAATATACCTTTTTCTAGATTGTTACTATTTCCACTATATTATAAAATATCACTTTCTAATAGATTATAAGTTCCGATTTATGGAAAAAATTAATAATTAAGTAAAACAAAAGAATTATATTATTATCTAAAAAAAGATTTTATAATAAAAGATAAATTGTAATATTAATAAGCAAGAGCGAAAAAGAATTGTATTACTATTACTAAAAAACTATAAAACGAAATATTTCATATAGTAGTATATTATATATATTGGTAGAGTAAAATAATTATATAAGCTAATCTTTATTATTAATAGAATAAAACGAATCATATAGCTATCAATAAACAATTACTTTTTAGCTATTATCGAAATCTATTTATAAGATAGATAAAGAAAAAGAATTTCTTTGAATTTCTAAACTCAACTAAATTAATTATAAAAAATAATTTCAATAAATGAGAATATAATTGAGAGGAAAAGAATGGTTTTATATTATTAAACAAATTATGATTGAGTATACAAAAGTTGTAATTACAGATATTATCACTGAAAAAATCGAAAATCTGAAGCTGAGTAATAAGATAATAAT